TTTTGACCGTTGGTGCTCATCCTAATTTTCGGCCTTGATGTAACAATATTCATAATTAAGTAAATGTAACACCCTTTTCACCCCGGTTACACGTTTCATTTGCCCTGTACGATGGGCGCTGTAAGTGATGAAAATGGGGGATGTTGGCTTATCTGGCGCCCGCAGCTCACAGCCAAAATGCGAGTGAGCGAGGGAGCGAGGGAGGGTGCACCGGTACCAGCGCTGTTGTTATTAGAATCTGGTGCCGTGCTAGCTGCTCTAACGGATATAATAATCTACAATGATGTGGAGGGAGAGTCCTCTCCAGTCAGACTGAGAGGCTGATAACTACAGCTCAGTGAGGTAAAGGACTCTGAGTGTTTAGATAGTTCACTTTAGTCTAAGTTCAAACGGTTTGGTCACAATTTATGTAAACACATATTTCCAAGGCACTCCTTTATAATTATTGGGATAAACAGGTTTGAAATAATTCCAATGTATAGCCTACTATAGGACAGTAACCAAAAATATCCTTTAAAACTGGAGAGATAAATAAATGTTAAGGTAAAATAAGATATGAATGAACATAAATAAAATAAGTTACATTAATTTGTTATTGGCTATGGTAGGTTATTGGTTATGTTCACATCCTTATTTGATTACATCCACTTGTCTAAGATGACAACAGAGACTTTCGACCCAAACCCAGCTGTTGACTTGTGGATGCAAGTAGCTAATCGCAGACTCAACCAGAGAGAAAGAAGTAGGCCTATAATCAGCTACCATGTCTGACAGAGAGGAAGACAGTGAGGAGAACAGTCAGGAGGGTAGTGATGACAGCTTGTAGGATTACTGCTCGTGCTAATGTTGTCTTGTGTTCACCTCTGCATGTGTGTTCTGTGTTCACCGCTGCATGTGTGTTCAGTGCCGTGTGTCTGGCAAATAAAGTCAAGACCCCCTCAAAAGTTACGGTTTATTTCATTTTAAGGATGAGCACCAAGCAACATCTCCAGGTGCTCCTTTGAGAACCAGGGCAAAAAAGTTATGTGCACCTGTATATAACTATATCCATGTCATGAAAGGAGGAATACATTTTGAATATTGTTCTAAGATGACATAAACTTGTTCTTACTAGTGTACATTTGTTTTCATTAATGATATTTGTAATGACAGTTAGGTATGATAAATAAATACTGCATCATTTCTAATGGTTTGCCATAACGGCTAGCTAAGGTTGTTCGTTATGGTTCCAAAAGAGGCTATAAAAGCCCAATAACAAACTATCGAAGGCCGGACAATATAAAAACCAAATTCTTCACAGGTTATAAGGGAGACAACTTCATGTTGTATGTTGGGCTGTGCCAGCCTACCTCAAGCAGGGAAGCTCTCATAGTGTCATCAGTAATGTCTTCAATGATGGCTTCAATGTTGGTGTTTTTCATTCCAGTGAGGTGCTGGTAGAGCGTCTCTGACAGGAAGCGGGGGCCTGGACCACCATGAACTATAGAAGTTGCAATCATCCTCCCAGCATGAAAGTATTCGTCATCTTTTGCAGCTGTTGATATTTTTTGTCAAATTATTATCACGTTAACCAACAGTTGCCACGTTATCATAAAGATATACAGTATAAGATAATGTAATTGTCACGTAAATACAGCTGCAAAATCCATAAGCAGCTCCTATATTTACAGTACAGTATTGAACATAAGACAGATTTGCGAACATCATTACCTGCATTGTCGAACGTGAGGAATTTCCTGTCCTGTGGACCATCAAATATTCTTCTCATTCTCAGGCATTCCATTAGGAGGGTCAGGAACTCACGCTTGGGACCACCAGTGTCCACTCCATCCTCAGTTTGTCCCTCATCGTCAGTAAACTTAACCTGCATCTGATGAGAGGGGTCGAATGAGGCCCCTTTGAAGCCGCGGATTGCTCCATCCCATACATTGGATCGGTTAATATTAAACCTGCTGCAAGAAGTATTTTTAATTTTTGCAGAGAGTTCTGCAACAACGTCTGGCGCAGTCAGGTATTCTGTGCTGGGAAAGACAAAGTGATGTATTGTAATATTAAATGATGAAGCTATAATAAGATTTACAGTATAGAATAAAAAAATGAAGTGGTAAAAGTAACAATTAATACCTTTCCTCTGCAGTTTGCTCCGTTTCCTCTTCTGGCTCAGACTGGCTATCAATAATGATAAGTGCATTCACATGTGTGTAGTTGCTGCAGTGAGAAGACAGTTGAATAATTACTTTTAAATACATAATATATGCATGACAGTCATATTTACAAAAGGATGTCGATCCTTTTCCTGGTTTTTTTTCAATACATTGGGTTCTAAACTGACAACAGCACTTTGTCATACTCCTGCACAATCCTTGTAAACATTTGAGATGGATGCAACAAACAATATCTGATCTTTGAAAAATATTTGTGGGTGTTTTTTGTATCGTCTTCACTAAGACGTAAGTTGTTGTCGGTGTCATTTGGAAATGTATACAAGTATAATTGTTCTACTTCCTGGCAATGTTACCCACTGTGATTGGAGGCTATACAAACAATTAAATGTAAAAATAAAAATACACACCAAACAACTGTGTCAGGATGCAACTGTCAACATGGTTTACCTATAGAAGGTGTTCTGACCCGGGGCAGACTGGACCTCTTCCTGGAATGGGGTTGGTGCTCCATCCTATTTTTACCCAATAAATAATAATGATGCAGTTGATCTAATGACAGTGTCATTAGCACACAAAGGTATTTATTGATTTCATGTTCACAAGTTCAAACCTACATGGTATAATTACATTTGTAATTAGTCTTTCCCGATCAGACGCTGGTTGTGGGGGCCTGAGAGGTCTGATAAAGGTAAACAAAAAATATATTCAAACTACTGTACTGTTAAAACATTCTGCTTCTTGTGGCACAAAATAACATGTTGACAATGTTTTATTTGACCCAGCAAACTGTTGTCCATTCTGGGAGTACTCTGTTCATTTGGAAAGTCCCACACCTGCATACAACACACAAATGACTGACTGAAATACAATTAACTTAATTAAGAATAAATGCCACGATAGATCCAAACTGACCACGGTGTCAGCAAGACTGTCTCCAGATGGCAACTTTACAACAACCACACTGTCCTCGTCACTTGAAGAGGTTGTTCCAGTGTAACCTAAGAAAATAAAAGTGTCATGATTAATACTATAAAAATAATTGTTCCCCTACGTCTGTACCTATTATCAAATGTTGGTTTGAATCCTGAATTATTGGATTGACATCAATCAGAAAGGATTCAATCGAAACACAAAATGTTTGTGAAATGTACATTATATTGTTGACCGTCCTTTTCACTCTCACATTAGGATTTACATTGGGGCACAACAAACCAACATTGTTGTGAGAAAAAGGTTCATTTAGAATTACAATCCATAAGAGGGAATTTATATTTAGTTTGAACAGAAGGAACGTTTGGAAGCTTTTGTTGATACTTAAATTCCATTTCTTCTGCCACTATTCATAAAAGACCATTTGACCTCATAAGTTCAACCACGAAGAGAAAGGAATGAAGGGTGGAATGAATTATGTTAAGACATAGACAGAACAACTGTTATGTTTACATTTGAACTATTATACAGTTTAGTGCTTTAAACAAGGGGGAATATATGTCAGAAGCACTTACAACTGTTTTCAACGGCTTCAAGAGTACAGATGTACAACATAATTCGTTGGTAGGGCTTTCCAATGGCCTCTTTGTACATCTGTACTGTGAAAGGGGTGTCCGTTCCGGGGATATTTGTTATCACCCTCGCATCAGGGTACAACATGACATGGGCACCATCTTCCAAGTCCTGGTTAAAGGCTTTCTGCTTTTTTACGGCAGCAGCCAACAGTTCTCCACATGCCCATTGAGGTTCAACATTAAGGGGAAGTGACCTCCCTCTCACGGGTTTAACCTGTTAAACCCTGAGCCTGTTTTTCAGGTTTCAGGCTCGAAAATGACATTCCCAGAACAAATGACTATAACTTCACTTCTAAAAGGTTTATATGAATAATTGTTGTTATCAAAGCAAGGTTACATCTGTGAGTTGGATCTAGAAGTGTCGGAATCAATATAGATGTTTCTGTGTCAGAGTACATTCAGATGGAACATAGCAAAAAAATGTAAATTCCTGTCTCCGCCTAAAGAAAACCCATTACTTATAGTGAAGACCAACCTTGAATGATGGGTTAGTAGCCTAAAAGCTTTAGGAATCCAAAGTATAACATATACCCTGTACCCTGTATCAAGATTCAGGCAAAACAAGTGACATTTGACCTTTTTAGAGAGGTTTATGAAAATAAAGTCCAGGCGGAATAAGCTTTGGGCACATTTGGTTCCATCAGTGCCATTTGACCTTTTTCAGGTACCAGACTATACAAATCATTGTATTACATTGAATCATCACTATAGGTATTCATTCCACCCAAAAAAAAAAATAATAATTTTTTTTTTAAAATAATTTTTAAAAATATATATTTTTGTGTGTGTGAGTGTCTGTACTAGGTGTGTGTAAATGTAGGTGTGTGTGTGTATGTGTAGGTGTGTATGTGTAAGTGTAGCTGTGTGGGTATGTGTAGGTGTGTGTAGCTGTGTGGGTATGTGTAGGTGTGTATGTGTAAGTGTAGCTGTGTGTATGTAACTGTACCAACGCACTATACAATAAAACCACACTGTAGGTCATTGTGTGTAGGTGTACTTGCACAATAAAAAAAAACAGAAACATAGGTAACATTTGACTCCAACTGGGGCAGATTTATTTCAAACATTTTACCAACACACTATAGGCATGTAAAAACAAACATTTTACCAATGTACTATACAATAAAACCACATTGTAGGTTTGTAAAAACAACAAATATTTTACCAACACACTATACAATAAAATCACACTAGGTATATAAAAACAACACATTTTTTTTTTTTAAATAAACACTCGCAAAACGTTATACCTACCTGAACTTTATACCTACCTGAATGTTCCAGTATTTAGGTCGTGCCACTCCCTGAAACAGTTCTTTTTGACAGTGAAGCACAGAGGGACCTGGCACTTCCTGCAGTACACAGGTGTCTTCACCCTTTTGAGTCCAGCATCTAGGCCCCTCCTGCAGTTCTTCCTGACCTTGGTGGCATCTTCCCCATAATACTCGGACATGCATGTGAGTGGTGGAGGAGGGGGTGGTGGAGGTGCAGGGCCTTCAGCAGGGCCTTCAGCAAACTCCAACAATTCTGCAGCAAGCTGCTCCCTGAAAGTCTTCTGGGTGTGTGGCTTTGTCCTGCTGGGGTCACTCCTCATCTAACAAATGTGGAAAAACAAAGAGATTAGATTAATTCACTGGCTTATACTTATAGGATAATATTGGACTATAAATGAATAATATTACATCAAATAAATAAGTAAACATGTATATGCATTCACTGGCCATTCATTTAGAAAATGTAACTCCAAAAAGACAAGTAACACTATTTAGCATTTTGGCTAAGCTAACACTGTGATGCAGTTCCACCAAACACAAAAGTAATATATAAAAAGGATAATATTGGACTATAAATGAATAATATTACACCAAATAAATAAGTAAACACATATATATATATATATATATATATATATATATATACATATATATATATATATATATATATATATATATATATATATATTCATTCACTGGCCATTCATTTAGAAAATGTAACTCCAAAAAGACAAGTAACACTATTTAGCATTTTGCCTAATCATTCCTGTAGCTTCTTGGCTAAGCTAGCACTGTGACGCAGTTCCACCAAACACATAAGTAATATATAAAAACAGAGAGATTACATGCCTTTCCCGTGGTGGAAGTTCAACATCCGAGTCACTACTGTCCGGATCCAGGTCTGGCTGGAGGAGATCTTCATCATCCGACGAAAAGTCATCTGGTATGAGCTATCGTCAGCTAGCATCTCTAGCACCTGCTCGCCTCGGTGGTGAAGCTCTCCCTTCTGGCTGCGTAATGCGTAATGGAGCCGGAGCGTGCATAGTTTATACTAGGCAGGATCATATCTTTGGAACCCATTGGTCGATTTGGGTGATTGACACCTTTTCTGAACCGTTAGAGCCAATAGAATCGAGTGACAGTTAGTAAGTCCCGCTAAACACTTACGTCAAGTAGAGAGAGGTTTGCGTAAACAGCACGTGAGACAGCATTAGCTCGGGACCGCAAAACTTTATACCTACTCTGCTGCCATGAATGTAATGATAGATTATCAGGAACAATTCTAAAGTGACTAATAGACATTGGATTAACCTTAAGAAGCGTTTTTATTCCCTTGAACACGAACTTTGATCACAAAACAGCAACGGTAAGACATAATTATTGTTATGGTTTTGAAAACTGTTTTTTTCTTCTCTGTTCTGGTTGATATCTCAGTGAGTTTGTGTCCTACAGTGATGATAGTTATAACAAAAATAATCTGTGGAGTATCAGCTTTCAGATGATATGTAGTTTGTGCAGAAAATATTAAGTTTTAAAGATCGTTTTTGCTAGTTAGCACCGGAAGTAGCATCTGCCCGTTTTAGCTAAGGGCTAATGCTAACGCTTCTTGTGAGACTTGTGTTTTGTTTCGGTAAAAATGGTTCGTATAGTCAGTTAGCTGAGATTCTTCTCGTTAATCTGGTATAACACATTAATAGGTTTTTAAATATTAAGATGCCCTGAGACAGAGTGTCGTGAAAAAAAAACCCAGGGTCCCCGCCGGCGGGGACCTTCGGGCTTAACAGGTTAAAGACCTTGGACCGGACCAACCCGATTTGTATATATCGCAGCAAGCTCGTGAAAAAGACAAAACGTATCAACGAGGCTTCTCACATAGCTGGTACAGCAGAAAGGCATGGATAGCTGGATGCAAACAGGTAAATGCTGTCTTTTGTTTCCCATGCTT